ATCTCTGTAGAAAGTACCGGAACTTTATAATGACTCGTGTCATTGTCAAATACGTCAATAAACAATTTTTATATAGGAGCATAAACGTTTCTTGGCATTGATTTAAGTAAGATTGAGTGAATTCATTGATCATCATTCATGGATGAAATGGATTCGATGATTTATTCTGAATGAATGTATTACTTTTGTTACTGACTGCAATTCCACATGAATTGGGGGCTCTTTAATAACCACTCGGAGTCTGTTGGTGTATGGCTACGAGGGTTGGAAGCAGTGGAAGTGTGTCATAGGCAGCGTCATAACCCACATAATATTCTTTGAGGTCTGGCGACCATGGCATAGCTACTTGCTTTCATGGTACCATTAAATAAGATCGTACCCAATGAGTCCATGCCCATTTGTGTGTAGAGATACTTATGGGTCTAAACATACATGAACAAATTCCTAGTTCTAGTGACAATTCCATTGAACATAATACTGGACCAAGTATTCTAGAGTGTGAGAATCGCAAAGATACATCAATCATATTTGGCCCAATTATAGATTGTCACTGAAACTGTTCACCATACAAGTGATTTCACTGAACCTCCTTCTCAGGATCAATGACTAATACTGGACCAGAAACTAAACTTGAGTTTTTGTTATTTGATACTCAATCAAAAATATGTCAAACTAATATTAATAACTTAGGACTGCTACTGTGAATAATTATGACGTCTGACAGATAAACCTTATAAAGTTTATGCAGCTGATATTTATAGCTGGTAATCAGAAGAGAGCATGGGCAGTAGCACAATAAAGCTGAGCAGGAAAATGATGGGGTCATCATGTGAGTTGGGTGTTGCTGGAGAGGCAGAGTGGCTGGAGTGGCTGGAGGGAGGCTGGTGAGGGAGTTGGCATATCTGGACCAGGACGTAGAAGGTGGAGGTAATCTTACTGACCACTGCCCACACATGTCTACTGAAGGAAACACACCACTGACCAGAATAGTAGTGACCACTAGATCACAAGGTTACTAGGTCAAGGGGGGCACGGGTGGCCCAGTCGTCTAAAGTGCCGCGATTTGCTGTGCAGAGTTGCGTCCCCTAGACGCCAGAAACCTATGATTGTGGGTTCGAATCCCGGTTCGCCCCGATTATGTTTCTAGGTTTGTCAGCACCATACCCGTGCTCGTGGGTTTCACCGGAGTGGTAAACGTGTGAGACCTGCATCACTTCGGGCTTTCCTCCCACATTAAGCTGACACGCCGTGATATAACTGGAATACTGTTAAAAGTGGCGTTAAACTCACTCACTCACTCACTCACTACTAGGTCAAGATTCAAGTCATCAGTGGTAACTGATCAAAAGCTTTATCCGAGGAATGGTCAGTTTTAATCAATGATTGAACTAAATTTGGTAGTAAATTTGGACATGTCCCAACCCGATATGCAACCCATGCCCTGTCATTTTTCAGTGAAACAAATCAAGACTTATGACACATAATAACACTAAATATCTTTGTTGCATGACGTTTTTAGCAATATCTTCTCATGTTTTATGTGTTCAAGAATTATTAGAAGTGATGACATCACAAACTAATTATATTAATCAGCATTTCAGCTTCCTGTGGTGGAACAGTGCCTGGGCAATTCACTAGCCACAAGGTCTGGTCCCTACATATACAGAGTTACTGTAACACCAACTCCCCACTCCATCCCTCATCAACACAACCAGGCTGTGTAAGTACAAGCAGGAGCAGCTTCATGGCAGACTTTATGACATGCCATCCAATCAAAGGAGACAATAACATTCTGTACACATGCATGTCCAGCCAGGCCAGTAGTTAGGCTCTGGCCTCTATACATTTTCACATACTTTTCACTGACTTACTGCTCCCCGCAACTGGGAATCAAACAGACAGAAATTTTCATAGCTTTTATACATTTCCAATGCACTTGAGTAGTTTATTTAAAAGTTTGAAATTGAAATATCTAACACATAACTTCTACACATATTTATTACAAAAAGAAAAATATTTGTTTCTGACCACACTCAAAGTGAATGTAGTGTGCCAGGACTATGTTTCTTTCTGTTACAAGGTCATATAGATCCTATCTATTCCAGTGACTGTCGTGTGACCTAAAACAAATACATAAATGATTATCTCGTCAATATACCCATACATCATCATCTATTTTAGCAATGATTGACACCTCCTCCTGCCTCCACTGATATAATCATGAGCATTACATCAACACAAGCGGGCGGAGCACAAACAGCGCCATCTCTTATCTACCCATCTTATCTGAACTTCTACGCCCATCCACAAATCAATCATCACATGCTTATTGACCACACTGAACCCTCAGGTGGGACACAGATCAAAGATGCATGTGGTCAGGTGACAACTTGCAATATTCTGACTTTGATATCATGTTGTAAAAGTTGTATGAACTGAAACATAAAAGCTGTAACAAGGGCATAAAGTTGACCAGGTGTGAAGATTTCTGAATGAGAACTGTATGGTTAAAGTAACATCTCCGGGAGCTGCTGCAGGTCAATACCACATGTAGAAACCAACAGGACAAGATACCTGGGCTTATTGCTTCATCAGCACTTCCTTGTGGTGATCAGTTCCTTCCCTACATATATTCAAGCCATGAATACATTTTGAGACAGGATGGACCAACTGTTTAGTATGTACACAGATAAACTCTTGCTGCACAATATACACCCACATGATAAGCATAAACAACAGCATACAAATCCCACGAGGAAGGGCATGGAATAATTGTGCTACAAATCCAAGCATACCCGACTGACTCATTGTGAAATGAGGACACTGACACAACTATATCTACCGCAGAAGATATTACTCTTGTCCTCCTAAAGTTTTTATCCTGTGTATCTCACAACCATTTCCATTTAAAACATATCCCATGTTTTCAGTCTGATTCACACAATGCAAAAAGTGACGTTTCTGGAGCAATTAAAGACAAGAAATCCCCAGTGTCTGTCTGTTCAACATCCAGGGAATGGGTTTCAACAAGGGGATTGTTTACCTGGCCCAAACTTAACACTGTAACACGCTCACTCCCAATCGGTGTGGAATTTAACATTTATTTTCAAATTAAATTGCAAAGATCCTTTTTGACAGGTCAGATGGTGCACTTTGTTGCCCAAATTAATGAGGTCAATGAAAGTGAAAACAGTTAATTGGAAAAGCTTTTTACAAATATCAATATCCCAGTGTTATGTCATGTACGAAGGGTATTTCTTTCAGACATCATAATTTCACAGTGGTGCTATTATCCCTGTGGCCTAATGTTGAATGACCTCTATCTTAACAATAACACAACATGTCTTGGTATGTTTCCTTTACCAGAACAGTCATGTCACGACACTACTGTGATCCCAGCTGTGGATTTCTGGCAGTAATTAAATATGTTAGACTAGAAAGTAGGCCGTGTATTGATCTGAATGTTCACCTGACATGAAGGACGATATTTAGGTCAGTGTCAGTGTTCACCACTGCTGATCACATTGTCCTGCATCAACACTCATCCACATAACCACTTAATAGGACTGACATCTCTCAAACACATCCTGAAATAAAAATATCCAAAGAATCCCATGCAAGTCTGTTATAGTTTGGCAAGTCTAGATTTCTTCAGTATCCAAAAATGAGGAGCTGGTTCTCTGAGCTCTTTCATATTGTGTATTGAAAAAATGATATATCATTTCAGAAACAAAAGTTGTCTAAACAAAACCTGTGAGACACTGTATCAAAGATTTACAACTCATCAATATCAGATGATCAGATATGATATTATTGCGACCATAAGTACGAGTCCCTTAAGAATAAATTACACAGCAACACAATTTGTTTTGCATGTTTTCACATTTTCCCACAATATTTCCAAAACCTGTGCATCCATCTTGGACATTCGACAAGAGTCACAGGGCAACAGCATTAGGATCCCAGAACAAAGTTATACTTATTCTTGAAAATACATATTAATGATTAAAACACCTCAGTTTCAACCAAGATGGACCCACAAAAACAGACCACTACCTGTTGGTAGCTTGCAGCAAGTGAGCTCTTTCCATTCTCTGCCAAATGAGTTATGAAGCTATTGTGAAAGAGTAAACACCGGTGACACCAATAACCATCTGGCCTGGAGTATATCACTGCTGGATGCAAGCTGGCTTCTGGTGATATACAAACTGGAAAGTATATCTACACACTGTGACTGGCATGGCCCTCTGTACATTATTGCTGTCATGCATTACCTGATTTCTACCTGAAGGCATTTTACCTGTATTCACAATAGCCACGTGTTTATGATGGAAGTTGGCGGCAACAACAGCTGGGAGAGTTGTGGCTCAATATACATAATAGTAAACTGCGCAAAAAGTGACAGATTGAATAACCTGTAGATTGGTAATCGCAAATAGAAGTCAATTTTAATATGTTGATATGATATAGGTATTAATACATTTCTGATTAAATTTTGCATATATCCTTGGTGACTAAGCTAATAATCGCACATAACTGCAAATACTGTGACTGAGACCTTATGAACAGCGACTAACATTGACATACTTGTGCTTGAAGGCTATTTACAGCGTCTGAATGTTGAACATACACAAAATGTTGCTTGTGAATAACACAAATACACCTGATTTGTAACCTAAATTATGTTCCTCTCACTCATATCTTAAATTCCAGACTCATTCAAACCTATTTAAGATTTAATTCAAGTATTAGTTGCTCTACTTTCAGAATGAAAACACACTTTCATGTCCACATACATACAAAACATCACTGACGTTCAAACACATACTTTTCTTCCAGTTTTTACAAAGATTATCAAGGTCTTTGAGGCTGGAAGAGAAGAGATGGACACATGGACAAATAGAGTACAACAGACAGTCAAAGGAACAGTGAGTGAGGATGAAAGAGATGCTACATGATTTCTAAACCTGAAGTGTATTTTTTGTCCCATGGACTCCTACCTCGAACACATTGGAGATGGTGACCTCCTCCGAGTCCTCCGAGTAGAAGGACGTCAGGGACCCGGAGTCTCTGCTGGGCTGGTAGTAGTCCCCGATGCTGTGCAGGACATTGCAGCTGAAGTTGTGGGCATTAGTGACAGGTAGCTCCACCACTGATGACCACGGGCGGTGGTACATCCCCCCGAACTTACTGTAAGACAAGGGGTGTGGCAGCACATCCAGGTCTTCTACATGCTTACTGAACTCACGCATGGGAAATATTCCAGACATTAAAGCCAGTTAAAGTCTCAATATTCAAAAATTGTGGTGATAATGAAGATCCTTATGATATCATTTGTATGTGTTATCCCACATCAAGGAATGGAGTTGATATCCCAGTTTTCACACGATGTCCAAACATCCCAATCTTTCCAGCAGTGTGTATGGATTAATTGTGGCTTGAGACAGTGATTAGCTTTACCAATCAGCATCCAATTGGCAGGGTCAGAACGGTCAAGCAGAAAGTTATCTCTATTAGGTTGCCAATTCCTTAATTTGGCACTGACCACTTGATCCACATGTGACTCCTGTAAGTTGCAGAACAAACCACATTTCTACACTGGCCCTACCACGTTAGTACAATCCACTGTTACTCCAGTTTTCAATGGGTATTCCTGAAGACATAAAGTCACAGTTATAATACCTTCTGTCTTCATATCTAGCAAATACTGCTCTGTATGTCAAAGATTCATTACAATTAGTTATGGTGGGATCTAAAACCAAGACTCTCAGTCAGATCATGCTCCCCTGATGAGATAAGACAAGCAGTGATCCTGTATACTTATTCACAGGAACTGAAGCAGAAGACTGGGACATACACAGAATACAATGGGAATACAGAGCCACATGATCGTTTGGAGGTTACGCGTTACACCCTAAAAACTTGGGCTTACTGATATTCACCGGCATTGTAAAACTGACTATATTTACTATTACGTGGTGATTCAAAACAGACAAGGCTGAATCAGTATGTACATATATCAGCAAAGGAAACAAGTTCTATGAAAGGCAGGTGTGATATGTTTATGTTTGTAATACGCTGACGTACAGTATGTATTGTATATTAGTGACCTGCTATACTATAACCTTGCATAGTACCATATGCTCATACTACAAATGGCGACTTTTGAACTCTCAAGTGACAATTAATCTGTCATGCCATTGAAATTCTGAATGATCAATATTGAACCGAGTTGCAGCTTGATGTTGTAAACATCAATAAAATGCAGTTTCCCAGGAAAAAGTCATTTGATTCAGTCTTCATGTTGATCATCATATATTATGAAATAAATCATGTTTTACTGTACAATATTGTCTCTAAACTTGACTGGATGCATAACCTACATGCTTCAGTCTTATCAACAACACACAAGCATATCTCTACCACATGGCCTTTCCCATAGTACAAATAGGAATTCAAACATAACTTTCCTCTAACAACTACAACCATGATTTTACTGGTTGAACATTACCTGTTGATTTCATAGTCCGTGCAATCACATCTGTCCATCAAGGAGAAATGTATCCCAGCACAGTGGCCACAGTGGGGAAGGTGGAGCCCGGGCAACCTCACTGACACTGTTTTCTCATCAGCACTCTCATAAACTCCAGACCATAACTAGCATCACCGGTCATGACATGACTGTCAATTAAATTGACATTCAACACATTACAGAAATCACTGCCACTTCACTGATCTGATTTAACAAAAAAGTACCAAATATCCAGGTAACCTATATCAGAAGTACTCCAGTCACAGCGTTAGATAAGATATGATCCGCTTGCTTTCAAATCTCAAAACCAACCCAGCACGGTTGATTCTCCACAAACAATTTGTGAAAAGTCAACTCTCAAGGGCAAGGTAATCTTATCAAAGCAGTATTTATTTTTGAGGTCCACTCCTTGCACAAGAACCACAGGCTTCCAATCTCTACCGGTGGACTGTATATTCATTGAACATTGTTAAAAAATAACATAGTATTTACATCCCTATCGACGTCAACTGCATCCTGTATGGTATAGAGGTAGCTTCAGTTGATAGAAACAGCATACACATACATCTCATGACCAGTGTATATATGCACGTCTGTAACAACACATGACATGCATACACAGGAGAGACACTATCGGTATAGATCAATCCTGTCACCACAACACTTTGTCCTGTGTATCGTAATCATATAACAAATGGTAGGTGACACTTAGCTCCTCTATAAACCGAAACACATTTGTTCAGTCAGAATTACCTCGTCATTCTGGGCAGTTGCGTACAAATTACTCAATGGCTTAGATCCACCTCTGCTGTTACATAAATGGAAGTATCCAGTGTACGACACACGAGCAGATGGCTGGAGGTATCCAGTGAATCGTATCCCAGTAGCAGACGACGAACCAGGTATCAGCTGCCTATACCGTCCCGGTATCAGGCCCCAGTGCACACAGCACACGTCCTGCTTAGCCACAGAGCACACTACCCACCTGATCCGTGGGTACATACAGTCCTCCTGTGTTGCCAGTCGTGGATGAGGGTAGATTCCAGGTAGGACTATATGCTTCCTGGTCAACACGTCAGCTGGGCAGTAGGCTACACACCTCTGGCCGGAACACGGGTCCCAGTAAACAGCTGTACAGTCAGGGCTGGTGGCGTGGAGAGACTGTCAACTGCTACCACATGTTACAAGGCTCTCACTCGCCTGTATTTGCATAGGATATTTTACTGGTAGATTCCAGATAATGATCACATATACATCTGAAAGTATTGTGAAAATGCCCTAATCAATTGGACCAGAGGTTAGTTTTTATTGATAATTCACCAAGCTGTATTGTGCATCGACTCAGTTAACAGCTACTGTTTATTTATTATGACCCTATCAGTTTCCCATGATTTTGGAATTGCTGTATCTGGAAGTCTATATATATATAATTGAAATATTTCTGATCTAAAACTTTGTTAATGAAAAATATTTTTGGTAATGATCAAACATTGGGGTGTCATTCATCTGCGACAAGTCAAGAAACTGTTTAAGTTTGGAGGTTTGTCATGGACAAATATTGGTCCACACTTCTTTCAATCCAAAATCTGGGTCAATATTCCTTTCAATTCCCAGCAAATAAATTATAATATTTCACACCTCAACAATATAACGTGACACGGTCAACCTTTCAGGTTACAGGAACAAAATACCACCTTACTTAGTCACAGTCTTGATAAGGCAGCCAAGCTTTAAATAATCATTAACACAAAGGACACAGGCTAAAGTAATGTTTTGGAAACGAATGAAAAAAACAACAGCAGAAGTACTTTGACACTGATAAAGCACAACTCTTAGTAGAGCACATTTTTGCATAATTCAAGTAGAATTCCTAAACACTTCAGTATGAATTGTAAATTAAGTTTTTAAATCCAGTGAATTGACACAAATCAATAATCATGTGCACTTGAGTGGATATACAGGGTCATGTGACCAATGCCCAGAGGAACATTTCTTGCAAGTGGATCACTTTCAGCAGATTACAAACATCAGACAGACAACTGTCGTCTGCTTGCTTGATGGTGTTACAATGTCACAGTATTTCACTGTCCAGAATCTGAGGATCAAATAGTACTAATGTGATAGAACGATCCTTCCCTGTTTCAATACCTTCAGCAACAATCTGAGACACCCTTCAAACCTCTTCATTCAAATCACAGGAACAGTACCAATTCCTCTTCCATTATGGATATCGTGATGTTGGGTACATTTCCATCACATGGTCATGGTGAGTTTCCCTCACACATAGTTGCTGATTAGTCATCAGGGTAAATCCAGGTTATGTCCATGGAGATGGTCATACTACACATCCCAGCAAACACTCGCAGTCCCAACCAAACAGCTCTAGATTCACAAATAAATCTATTGAAAAATCCATGCACAAATCAGTGAACAGTTCAACCTAGGACTGAAATATTCAATACCAGCACACAGATTGACTGGCTTTGCAATATCACACAAAAGCTTGGATATCTTTGAAAACAAATTCTATCTGCATAATCCAGGATAGTGGACACATTGATTCAGGCATATGCTCAAGTCAGTCATATTGGTAGTTTTCTTGCAGATTGTTATGAAACACTTTGTCTGTTCCTGTTGCTAACCTATCTGTTATTTAACCATGTCCCTCTCTGTAGCAACTCTGTGTTGTGATTGTCTGAAGAAGATGCCTAGATCTGATCTAGCATCTACATTTTTTTACAACCACAATACAATTACAGAATGTATTTTTATGATTACTATTTTTCAAGAAAACTGACAATCAGTTTCTCAAAGTATCCTCTGGAAATCTGACACAGCAAATTTGTCCTGTAAGTAGTGAGTACTACCAAGCAATGATATTACACGTTTGCAGTTCACACTGAAGAAATGAAGATTCCTCCACAGCAAGAAACCTGTCTGGCCATAATGTATGAATCATTCTTTCCTTGTACCATGGAATCAAGAGACGCAGAGAACCATGAACTATGATAGCCTTCTCTCTTATACACCCAGACTTGGGGAAAGTGGCTGTGTCTCTCATATACCTAGACTCAATGATACCAGCATTCTCCCACTGTGAAGAAGAACACACGCTCACCGACCATGCATAAAGCTCTGGGCTTTATATTGGAGATATCACTCATATTACTATTTCACACCACAGCCTTATATGGCTCAGCCCAAAAAACAAGCCTGTTCCAGACCGTATACCCGTCTTTAATATTAACCCAGACACTTTCCACTAGCCACAGACAACTCGGATGTATGATTTCCCTCATGCAGTGGGCTCAATAAAGTCACTCGGGCATGGGAATGATTTTTAACTGAAATAAAAGGTGTGGTATCTCTTGCTAAAGAACTTGAGGTCGTGGCTACACACATCCAACTCACTTGACCAGCTTTGAGGCGTCATTGTGTAAACTTTATCAGCATTCAGGTCATGACATACGAGGATTTAAAGTCTGCTTTTAGATTTACCAAATCAGCACCCAGACACAATTATAAGAAACTGCAGGTGATAAAACATCAACTGAGCACAAACCATTCAGGACTCGGGTTCTATCTTAACCCTACGACTTCAGGTTATAAATATATCAGACAGGTTTCTGTAATGTTTATTTTACACAAACATGATAATATCCTGTATCCGACAGATGTTTACTTTTTATCAAAACATTACCTCAATTAAGTCCTTAATGATGTGTGGATGAAGCACAATGTCAGACAAGGGGTAAGACAACTGTACATATCAGCAGAGACACATAATTATCAACACTCAGGAACAAAACTTAAGTGTTATACAAGCAATGTGATCCCCTATCAACAGCCATGGGTCACAGGTAATCCCTTACAGTGGCACCTGGAGAAAAAAGGCGCCTTTGTCATCTGTCCCCAACACCACGGCTCATCACAGATTTCATTTCAAAGCCACCTAATTCATATTCCTCGGTGACATCCAATATGAAAAGGGTTGTCTGTGTCCACCAAGCTCTTGATAGTCCCAGCTTATTTTCTCATGAGGATTTATAAAAGAACTAAGGTTTAGATTAAGTCTGTAGAGGGGGTTCAGTGACTTATTAAATTGTTTTCCAGCAGGTTGTTCTTGCAGTGAACACTGGCGACACAAAGTGCTTCACCCCCTGGACATTTCATGCCATGCAAGCACCATTTATGAAATTATCCATTAAGAGATAGAGGCAAAGTAGTCGGTCTCACAGTCCCTGAACCATATTATTTTCCCTTCCGTTCATCCCTTTCTGTAATGCAAAAGTCCTAAATGAAGCAAGTCTAGATTTTCCTCAGGTTCTGAATCTCCCATCTCACTGGGGTTCCTCGTTAATGTAAATTGAGTTATTTGTTTCCATCAAAATTATATATTTTTAGAGACTGAGCATTAGTCTGGAGGCCAAGCAGTAGCTTTGAGTCAGTGAAGAGTTTTTTTCATTTATGTAAGGGCTTGGACAAAATTGCAAGGTTTTAGTTATCTACTTTTTGACTTAGTCATAATATCCATCCCATAAGAGTTCCATCAACAGTCCCCCAGGTTGATATTGCTGGAATATTGCTAAAAACGGCGTAAAACCAAACTCACTCACTCGCCAACACTCTGTCAGTGTTGGCGAATCAACCTATACTCTATTATGACATTGCAGCAAATATGATCAGTTAACATATTTAGTCCTCAAAATGATAACACATAGCAAAACACTTAAAAATGGCAATTTTCTACTGGTCCTTGTAATACTTCAACTTATGGGGCTGTTTGCCTAGGACTAGTGCCAATTTCCACAGCTGATGGTACTGCTGGGCCAATACAATAACTCACCTCTGATGTTACTGCCAACTTACTGTAATAACACAAATAATGTCATAACCACTTTAATCATGCTTTAAGTTTGAACATAATTCAGAAACAACTTGCTTTTTTCATTAGAAAATTAGTCAATTTATTGTTATTTTTGTTGAAAACATGTTACAAAATGATTTAGTTATATGCTTTCTCATACATCAATATGTTTATATGTTTGAGAAAGGTGGGTACCCCTGCCCGAACTCCCTCTGGATCGGCCGAGGTGTTTTCTTTGTTTATCAGGTGAAAAATGACATTTGCAGAATTTTAAATGTATTAATTAGAAGTATCAAATCCATGAAGACTGATGGAAATGATGACAACCATTCATTAATCTTGTTCCAGATGCAACAACTGATCTGTGTCATTCTGGAGTTCCGTCTGAAATACTTTTTACTAACCCCAAATTCCCACTCAAATTTAGATGTCTTCAAAGAATACACATTTGAACTGTATGAAATACAAATCAGGCAACCTTAGAATACAAAGAGGGAGGGATTACATTTGAATTTTGTAATCCCAGCAACCCAAACTTGGTATCCACACTTCAGAATGATTCAAATCGTGAAAATTGAATCAGTTTTCCATTTACAAAGATTACAGCCAAATTCTGGGCTCAGTTGTCAAAATATACCTGCAGTTAGCACCCTATCAAGAATATTGAACGTGAAAGTGTGAAACTTTCACCCTGGCTCAAAGATAACCCAGTTACACACCATGAGTCAGTGGTGAAAAAATGCCAGATTATAGATACTAAAGCCTTGGATTACAGGTGCCAGGGTCGAGAGACAATTCTCCACATTTGTACGTGTTCCATACAAATCATATTTGATATACCGTATTCAAACTGTGCAGGCAACACTGCATTACATACAAGCAAAGTACAAAACTGAAATACCTCATTGTCCGCGTGGCGAAAGTCATTTATTTTTTTTAACAGTTCTGTTGTGTAAGATTACAGCTGAGTGCTATCAACAGCATTCTCAAGAATCTATCAGTACCCTTCTTACATCCTTTCTTCAACACTTACTACTGGAATAGTACAGCTAACTGAACCACAATCTAACATTCTGATTAGCAGAACATTTTTATTACAACTCTCACCTCTAGTTATTAGTCCAGACTCATGCTTATTATCTACCCACGACAATTTCATGTATCCTATTAGAAGCATCTGTCATTTGCTAATGTAGGATTCAGTGTAGCGTAAAGCCCATGATAAATGGGAGAGGGTGGAAAGTCAGTCTATAAAAGATGTGTCCAGAACCCTGAACACCTGATTTCATCCTTCTAAGGGGAACTGGGCTCAGGCTAATTTGCAC